AAAACCACGGCTCGAAAAATTCAGTCGCGGCTCGCCAAGTAGATATATTCCATACTAGAACCTGGTCTACGGAGTACGGACATAACACAACACATAGGCTAAATGCTTGTAAATTTGTCCAATTAAGGCTTTTCCTATAGCCTTTTTCTAATTTATGCAGAAAAAAAAAGAAAAAAAAAATGATGATTCTTACCAAGTTAGCCTAAGCAATTTTCAAAAATTGGCCATGAATTTGATGGAATGATTATCATTTGTACTGCCAATTTTAAGGAAACTTCTGTCTGATATTCCAAATTGGCTCTCTAGAGTAAACTAAAGCATTTTTAATAGTAAAATGTGTGATGATCAAATTCTCTGAATTTTAGTCATGTAGGTAGGGTAAATGTGGTATATTCCAACACCTTAAGGACGTAGCAAAATATGAATGGCTATGAAAGAATCATGGTACGCACAACTCGAGTTCTGTTTGCTTTACGTCACTTCAAAACACCGCAGTCCGCACTACGCGCCAGCAACAATGAAACATCACAAAATGTTGCCATATTTATTTAAAAGCCTTTAGAATGCAAACCTACCAATTCCATGTATTCCAACCCTGTGTGTGACTAAATTTGGCATTTTGTGAGACTAATTCCGGCCGCGCTTCAAACTCTACTAATTCGTAATTCCAACACTCTTGTGTTCAAATTCCGATCGCTGTATTGGAAATTCCAATCGATGAGCTGTATTGGAATACGACACAGCTTGGAATTAGAACACTATTGAATATTGAACACTACTTATTTAGGCTACTAATTAAGAGCTATTAAGCTTTTAATTAAGAAAATTTTAATTTTTGCACATAGCTTGGAACAAGCTGTGTGTGTCTAATTCCAAGCTGTGTCAGAATTAGTTTTTATGTGTCTAAAACCGTCTCTTAACTTGATCGTCTATTAATTGTTATACCACTTGAAATCGCAAATACAAGTATACTTAAAGGATTCCTGATATATTCACGGACTTATTAAAAATTCTCAAACCATAATATTCTTTCTATGCAAACAGTTTATCACAATTTGGTAGAGCAAGGTCAACTATCAACTTTGACACATTTTTCGATGTTCTCGCTGGGTGACGCGCAGTGTCTCTCTCTGGATCTCAACATTTTCCCACCAGACGGCCCAGACCTAGTGTTTTGGCAATAGTATGGCGCACAACAGTATGACATCACTATTTCAACCATCAACAAATGCGTGGAACTAAGAAAATCTTAATATAAAGGAAAAAAATTGAGAAGTGTCAGAATTACCCACGATGTAGGAATATACCACGTTTACCCTACTTCTGTTAGACGTTTGTCTTAGCCATAACTTCTGTGCACTGTTCAGTATCATTTTTATATGCCATGTGGCTTTTTTTTGCTTAGAATGTTTTTGAATTCATCATTTATGCAGAAGTGCAAATTATTAATGATATTTTGCTTGTTTCTCAATTCCTTGGAGTTGGATCCATCTAATAGCATCTATGATCTGTAGGTATCAACAGAGTGGAAATCTAAGATTAGAGGTTCACTTTAAAAAAAGCGTTCGGCCTTGAAAAAAAAATGTTCCAGGCAAGTGGCAACTAGAAACAGGTTTGCAGCCTGCAGGTCGTCAGAAATCGGCCTCGGCATGAACGTTACGTCAGGCAACACAGAGAAAATCCCAATATTGTTAATTGTGCGCATCACTCGCGGATAAGCAAGAGGAATCTACTGAAAGAAGAGTTAATTCAGTCTAGTATATTATATGAATTACCTTATATTAAGTCAAGCGTGGACATCAACATTAACTTTTGTCTTCATTTTGGTGGCAACTGAACATGTGATAATGCAGTCTGACCACTCTGATGACAAACACTCTGAACACAAAGTCACAAACACATCGCAACTATGCGATCTTCAATAAAACATATTTGGTTGACTAGATCATCAGTAGATGTCATTTCATTCTGCTGGTTATTTTGGCTGGAGCATTGAAGTACTGCAGATTACGGTAGTTGAAAATTTTATGAAACATGTTTGCAAAGTGCAAACTGCAAACCACAATTTTTTCAATCAAACAAAAATACTTGACATTAGAGCAATGAGATTTCATACCTACTGAAATTATATGATATTAGAGCCTTGTTATTTCAGAAAAAAGTAGGACATTTCCCAACTTGAATCTCCTAAATTTTTTAGATTATGTTGCTCATCAAAATTATATGGCCAGCTTCATTATTTGTTGAATTAATTTTTTGAAATCTAATTAAAGCTCCTAATTGACTGTTGCCAAAACAATTTCAATAAATTAAAAAAAAAGTTACCAGCAGTTGTTATGAAGTTATCAATAATAAAATTGCTTGTTTATTGTATTAACCATGTAGTTAAAATGAACATTATTTTTGTACAGGTCTGCAGGATGGTGCATCAGAAAAAGCAACATTGGAGACATCTATGGTGGAGACTCAGTCTCCTCTCCAGTTCTCACAATTAGGTAAATGGTTAAAAAATTTGCTAGAAGATGAATAAAACAAGTGTGACTAATTTATGATAAACATCTGGATTCTAGAGTATCTAGAAAGCAGATAAAATTCACTGTAACTTTTATCCATGTTTAGTATTACAGTATACCTACTTCTAAAGTATAGAGACCACAGAAGACTTGTTCTATATTTGCAAAAAAGTTGGTAGATCAGATGCTATTTACAATGAAAGAATCATGAATGATCATAAGCATTTTATGAATGTTATTTTTTGCCACCATTTCTTTTTTAAGTTTTTAATGGTGTATATTTTTTTTCTGAATAAAGGAACTTTAATTAGTATTATCATATCCCAAAGAGTAACTACCTATAGAAAATCTTCTTGTCCTTGCCCAATAAGAATAAAGATTGAGCTAAACAAATCTACTTGATAAGATGAATTACAGCAAATCCCACCCAAAGAGTGGACAGGATGGGCCCCTCATCTAAAAAGAGAAAAAAAAAACACTGGGGGTTTGTATGAGGTGAATTATTGTGAACTCCATTGAAAGAAAGAATATTGTGAGGGGTGTTTTGTATGGGAATTTTAATTACAGTTAACCACACATGAATGGGAGTTCATAGGGTGAATTAAATCCTATCTCCCTTAGAGCATGAATAGGTGTTGGTCCTCTAAAATTTACTTGTTGGTTAGCATGCTATTGCTGTTGGAACTCAATATTTTTTATAATTATATTAATTTATATTACAGTAATAATAGTTAATAATTATAGGTTATTATTTTATTTTGCAGGAGACTCAATTCTAGGCAACATGTCTGCTTTTCAAGATCATCAAAATGTTCAGGTGAAAGATGGGATGTGTTGTGTAGACATTAGATTCCTCCTGTGCATCAAAATGTTCTGGTGAAAGATGGGATGTGTTGTGTAGACTTGAGATTCCTCCTGTGCATCAAAATGTTCAGGTGAAAGATGGGATGTGTTATGTAGACTTGAGATTCCTCCTGTACGTCAAAATGTTCAGGTAAAAGATGGGATGTGTTGTGTAGACTTGTGATTCCTCCTGTGCATCAAAATGTTCAGGTGAAAGATGGGATGTGTTGTGCAGACTTTAGATTCCTTTTGTACATCAGAATGTTTAGATTAAAGAAGGGATGTGTTGTGCAAACTTGTGATTCCTCCTGTGCATCAAAATGTTAAGGTGAAAGATAGGATGTGTTGTGTAGACTTTAGATTCCTCCTGTGCATCAAAATGTTCAGGTGAAAGATGGGATGTGTTGTGCAGACTTGAGATTCCTCCTGTACTGTACATCAAAATGTTCAGTTGAAAGAAGGGATGTGTTACAGACTTGAGATTCCTCCTGTACATCAAAATGTTCAGGTGAAAGAAGGGATGTGTTGTGCAGCCTTGAGATTCCTCCTGTACATCAAAATGTTTAGATTAAAGAAGGGATGTGTTATGCAGACTTATGCAGACTTGAGATTCATCATGTGCATCAAAATGTTCAGGTGAAAGACGGGATGTTTATGTAGACTTTAGATTCCTCCTGTGCATCAAGATATTCAGGTGAAAGATGGGATGTGTTACGTAGACTTCAGATTCCTCCTGTAGTGTTCAGGTAAAAGATGATGAAATGCATAAAAAAATCAAATTATTCAGGTCTTTACAATCTGTAAATTCTCTCTAATAGTACGGTAGGTATTCTCTCAAACCTCGTGTTCTGCTTATTTTTTCAGTTTTTATGGTGTGAAATTGGCTTATATTATGATCTGCTCTAAGTAGTTATCATGTGCTATTACTTTTTGCTCATGAACTTGCTTTATGAAAGATCTATATATCTGAGTGGATGTATCATTTCCTCAGGTTCTGTTTAGTGAGTTTGTGCATATCTTGATTGGTGAGTACACTGGAGAGCGTGAAGGAGAAGAGTCTGGCGTGTGGGGAGAAGTTCTCGAGTATGAAAAGCTGTGCCATCAACAAGCACTGAACATTGACCGGGTCTACCGCAAGATGCCCACTCACCATCCAGCATGTGTGCACACCAAACAGGTGCGTCTAGTAGCTCTTATTGTCTACTTATCTAGATTTATATAGTTAAATTCTGCCTAAAATTATGCCATTGACCGGTCTACCGCAAGATGCCCACTCACCATCCAGCATGTGTACACACCAAACAGGTGCGTCTAGTAGCTCTTATTGTCAACTTATCTAGATTTATATAGTTAAATTCTGCCTAAAATTATGCCATTGACCGGTCTACCGCAAGATGCCCACTCACCATCCAGCATGTGTGCACACCAAACAGGTGGGTCTAGTGGTTCTTATTGTCTACTTATCTAGATTTACATAGTTAAATTCTGCCTAAAATTGTATCATCAACGTGCTGTATTTAATTGGTGAAAGTATTCAATGAATATTATTTTTTTTGCATCCCATTTTAAAATGTTTAGTTAGAAATAAGTATACGTACTATCTTAAAGACCTACCTGGAAATGCAGAGAACAAATAAAATATTTCCTTGGATTTTCTTCAGGTGTTACAACAGCTTTTGGGGGAGCGGAACATGTGGCGGCTACTGCGGTCTCTGTATGTGGACCGGCAATGTCGTTCAGACACACCAGACAATGGGGATGAAGATATGGCTGTCTCATGGCTCAAGTCTGATCAGACTGTCATCAATGAGATCTACAATGACTCCAGGGAGATAAGAGAGGTAGCCTTGCTTTTCGTCCTATTAATAAGTGCATGAACTTTACATTTTAGCCATTTTTAGCGCTTTTTTTAGGCGAGTGAGTGAAATATATTAAAACTTTAACTATTTTAGCTCTCTAGTAATGAATTGAGTATTGCATTCCATAATGGCAACTTATCAATAATATTGTCAGGGACGATATTGATTACTGGTACCTATAACTCATTACAATATAGATTAGAATTGATATCATTACAATTTGTATTATTGCAATATTGCTTATTGACTGCTTGTACAATGGATAACTAAGGTTATTTTATTCAGGCCCAAATTGTTATTGATTGGCTGGAGAAGAATGCCTCGGATGCAATGATGCAGCTGCCAGAGAAAGTAGAGCATTACACTGACAGTCACATTGCCTGGGAGAACACTCTTCGTGAGCTTAAGGTGACTTCTCTATAAAAGTATGCACCAATTTACTGTTGAAAATAAGTCACAACTAAGTTATCATCTAATACTTGTGTTGTCCCATTATTTACCTAGGGATGTTATATATTTTCGAGATTTATTTGATTAAGTTTCATATAGCTCCTAGTGATTGCTGCTTAGTTTATAATTTTTTTTTTCTATTTGTACGTGTGAATTGTCCTTGTAGCCATGTTGTTCTGCATATTGATACTTCAGATCTCAGAAAACCATACGGCGCTTAAATTCCACTTATTCTTTGTATTTACGAAATAATTGGGTGATCAAAATAAATTGCCTCTAATTCAAAGTTCTCAGGTCTCAATTGGTTTGAAGTTCAAAGTTTCTGCACGCTAGTGTATTAAAAATAAATCTCAGTCAACATTCAATTTCATCTGCGACTGTTATTAGATAAATACTTGATTCAGGAATTAGAAGACACACACTGGCATTATTTGATGCGAGTCACTGCGCATCTGTAAAATTAACAAATTTATCAACTTTAGTTGTAAGAAGTTCCAGCTAGACAAGTTGTAATGTCTATTCCCCTCCCGGAACCCCACTGTATTATTAGAACATTATATTTTCATTTTCTTTGCCTTAGGATTTATTTTAAATTTTATTTGCATTGTTTCAGAATTGCGCCAGGGGAGCCATGGGTAGCAGACACTCCAGTCACCTGGTGACCGCTATGGACCCTGACGCTCCTGTCCGACAGAAGAAGGCCATCCACGATCTAGATCAGGTGACAGTTTAATTCAGTTTTTACTTAAAATATCTTTTTGCAAAAATATGATTATATATTTCATTTATATAGGTACCTAATATCAGAGTTTTTAATTTTCTCTAACATTTTCTTTTTGCAAAAATATGATTATTTATTTCATTTATGTAGGTATACCTAATATCTGAGAGTTTTTAATTTTCTCTAATATTTTCTTTTGCAAAAGTATGATTATTCATTTCATTTATATAGGTACCTAATATCTGAATTTATTACTTATTTTGGAAATGACTAATCCCACGCAATTGATATTAATTATTGAATCACAAATTTTTATAAAACTACTTTTCATAATATTTTCTATTTAATATTCATAATTCATTCATAATTTAATTCATAATATTTCTATTTCCTATTTAACACACTCGTACATTTATAGTCAGACAGGCATCATTGATCATTTGAGTAAACGTCAACATGTTGAATCATTAGTAGGTACGGTATGTGTTTTGAACGTAGCAGTCCCAGGCCATGCTAGAGCGCCGGCTCATTTATTCTCAAACTGAATGCGATGGAACCAATAATCTTGTGCATGTGCTTATTATTTCGGCAATGTTTATAGGTAATGACTACAGTGAGGTAATGACTCCAAAACATTCTGAACCTATTGAATTAATTAATTTATATTTCATCAGGACGACGAGCGCGTGCTGACGCGCAGCGTGATGCTGGCCATCAGGTCGGGGGAGCTGTTCCAAGCTCAGGACAAATGCGTGGCCTCAGGCAAGCAGTGGCTCGCTGCAGCCCTCGAGGGCTGGAAGCTTCACCACGACCCTAATGTGCATGACCCCTCCAGGCGGCAACCCATCATGGGAAACCCATATAGGTTAATAATAATGCTGTTAATGAAATTCTCTGAAATATTCGAGACATTTGAAATCGTCCTTGTCCCTTGCACCAACGATATGAAAACAATAGACATTTTGTATTGCTGAAATTTGCTAATTTGTCATAATTATTTCATACCATTGCTATTTTAATTTATCATGTTTGCAGCCTCTAAAAATTCTTTGAGACTTGTTATGATCTTGTTAAGCGAGTATTCTTAAATTTTCATGTGATATTCATTTGAATTTTCATTCATTGATATACGCACATATATTTAATTTTATTTTGGTATGGTTTTGACTTGGCATTCATTTGATATAAGATAATTTAGATACAATTTTGACAAATAATTCATTTGAAATAATTTTCTTAGAGATGTGTGGAAGCTGACTGCGTGGCGAGCGTCCGAAGACTGCCGCCTGTCGCACCACCAGCGGGCGCTGTATGGGTCACTGTGTGGCAACCTACGTGCCATGAAACTTGTGTGTCAGGACTGGGAGGACCTCCTGTGGGCGCATGTCAGGGCCATGGTCGACCAGAGGGTCGAAGAAAGACTGCGCTTCTTGCATGCACAATCGCGACAAAGGACGCTTGTGCCTTTGCCCAAAAATTACCCAGAGGAAAGGTACCTACAATAGTGAACCAAAATTATGTGTTATTTAATATTTATTTTAAATAAAGTGGTCACCCACCTAATAAAAAATCATCGCCTACCCCACACAACCATTGCTGATTGCTCTGATGCCGCACTATCAAAACTTACTTAATTACAGGTAGCTGCGTAATGGCATCATTTCTTGTCTGTGATTGGTGGATTTAGCATGAGAAGCCCTTGGTGATTGGCTGATGAGTTACAAACTCTTAACTGCTTTTGATTGTACACTCCCTGGCTTGAGAGGAAATCTAGATGTTGAAAGTGACAGAAATACCAAAAATACGAATTAATATGTATAATATTGAAGATTTTTTTATTGACCGGATAATTTCATGATGTCTAATTTGGCGCCCGAGTCAGTTTAATGAAACCAGATCTGCTTGAATCATGATCCTTGATTGGATTATGTTTTGATGAAGCATATTCTATTTTTTTGAAGTTTTATTCTGCCATACATAAATTTATCCCAGTTTTTTGCCGAACATCAAAGTTGTTTACTATCCTCTTATAAAAAGGATTCGTTAAGTGCAACAAAAGTTTTTTCTCAAATAAATTCTCTGTTTTAGGATAAGTCTGGACATCGTGTTCACCAGCGTGGAGAAGTCATGCACCGTAAGTGAACTGAAGAACCCTTACTACCTCATGTGCAAGTTCCTTGTCCTCGATGACGTAGACGGTCTCCTGGGGGCATCAAAGCTCTGGATCAGAGACGGGACGGCCCCTCATCTGCTGCGGTGCCTCACGCACCTCCTGCTTGTGCTCAGAAGGATTTACAAAATTGTCACGCCTGAACAGGAGAATACGGCCAGTGCTGTGCTCCAGGCCTGTGTCAAGGTTTGGATAATATACCGTCTTAGCTATATGGCATAAAATTAGTCCAGTGCATTCTTCGTGTTACAGTCATTGCTCCTATAGAGAGTCTGTCATAATTGAGATAATATTACGTTTAACCTCAATGGCACGAAATTAGAATAATGTATTTATACAGTTATGCTTAGTGCTTCAGTTCAGAGGAATGTTTCAAGCTTAAGATAATATATTCGGTAATCTCTGCGATTTCTATTGGTGCCAAATGAGACTGAAGGGTCTAGATGCTCATGTTGGACTGTATGTGACCTCGGACCAACATCACCAGACTATTTCGTTAATGCCTCTTATGTATTGAAGTGTGTTGTGTTGCAGGCGTCCATAGAGCGCGGCGACGTAGAACAGGTGGCGTGGTACACGGCGATGCTGCCCGAGGCGCAGCAGGTTGCCTGCTACGCGGGCTTCCTGTTGAACATCAGCGACCCACCACAGCGCCGACACGCGCTGCATCTTGCGCAAACCGTCGGCCTCGACGTTCATGCCATCGCCACCACCACCACCGCCATCATCAGGTAACAAATGCCTTCTAAAACTTTGTTTTTTTTTTTTGTAGTCTCCAGCTTACTTCCCAACTATCTGAAAACCCTCTCATTTTTGTGGTTCAGCTGCAGTAGCCATTTATCGAATTTTTGTGGAAAATAGATGGTAACCTGACCTTTAGATAAGAATGACGGTTGATGTCTCCATACACAAATGATTGAATGTCACGGCGGTTGCACTATGCTTGGGCCAACTACCTCGATACAATGTGCGCTTTCCTATGCAGTAATCCCGCTTGTTACGCCACGTCTTTCTCTAAATTTTCTGTCTGGAAACATACAAATTATAAGTCCAGTTATATTTTGCATTTTTCAAATTATTTGTCAAATTATATTGTGCGTTTTTCTAATCATATATTTCAGAACTCTTCAATTAATTTCTTCATTGCTCTCCCTAAAGTTACTTTGTTGATTACCAAAATTCCGTTTTTACGTAAGGGATTAACAGTGATGCTCCAACTATCTTTGGGGGTGCTATGGCTAAGCAGCTAATCTTGACTTTCTTCATGAATCTATTTTTTGTATAGACTGAGTCCGTCAGGAGGCCTGAGCGAGGGCGAGAGTTTGGTCGGCGAGACAGCACAGACAGACCGCATCAAGATTGCTGGCTTGGATTGGCTTCTCTTCGACGATGCACTTAGGAAAGAAGCTCTCATTCAGGCTCTTGCTCTTGTCCGCACTTTCCTCATTGCTCGCAAGATCTCTGCTGCCAACATCACTATGGATAAGGTGTATATCGTCTTCGAGGTCTCGTTGATTTTATTGTATATTGAAATCTTTCGTTATGGTGCGAAAAAAGTGAAAACTGGCCTTTAGTTGAGAATATTTTCGTGGAACCTTTAAAAAAATGTTGGTTTCTGATGAACCAAGTGGTTCTTCCTGCATGCGTACACTGTGTTCAATTCAAGATCTACTGTAAATTTTCATGAAGATGCTGGTTATTCATACTGTCAGTTTTTGTGTGCTGTGCAGCCTGATATTAACTATCCTGTGCCTAATGCTTCCTTTTCTCCAACCATCTCAAGTTACTTGTTTATTGTAATCTTATATAAAAGTGAAACTTTCCAGTCACAGTGCGACAACCAGTTCCATCAAAAGCTCCTTATTCCTTCCAGTTACCAAGTGACACTCTGGCGATGGTGGGGTGCGAGGATGAGACAGAGGACCAGCCTCCTGAAGTAGAAGCGGCTGTTAGAGAATACCTCTGCATCAAAACCTTCCTTGTAAGCAGAATAAAACCTTAAGCACATTAAACATTTATTTCGTCGATTCTACGAAACGGTTTGCAATAATTGCATCGTGCATGTGCGTATTTACGTTTCCAATTGGGTAAATTATGGGCGTAACATTTTAAAATTTTCGGAATTTTATAACATTAAAAATAATTGATTGCATTGCCTTCACCTCATAATTTGCTTATCAAATTGCATTTTCTTTATTTATTATATAGGTATGCATAAAGCTAACAAATCTAACACTGTCGTATAGTCTCACTGTGTTTTATTTGTGAGAAGTAAACTAAGCTGGCTATTGAACAAATGCATCTGTTTTCCTTATCCATGTTTAATCTTAACTCTTATCGTGGTGGTGACAAACAACAAGTGGCCAGCAACTAGTCTAATTCTATTGCAATATTTGATTTCTATCTCATATTGGGGGGTTTGTTAATCAAACAGGATACCTTAATTTAATACATTATTATTGACATTTTTGAGGGTTTCAGTCTGCCCAGGAGTGCTTCAGCGACTGGTTTGACCACTTCCACCAGCAGAAACCGGCAGCGCCCGGTGCTTTGTCATCGTCCGCTTCATTTCAGGAGCAGATCGCGCACGAGCACGCGACCCTGCAGCACCAGACCGCCATGGACAAATGGCAGGCCGCTCTCGACAGACTCACCAAGGTTCATATTAGTCCTGAAAAAACTTAGTTGCATCTTGACATATGTTCTACCTTAGCTTTCATGAAAATTGAGCGTGTTGAGCTTGAGATTGTAATCGCATTGTATTGTTGGAGTTACGGGATTAATATGTAGAATGAGTGAATAGTGAAGCAGTTGGTTCATTTACTCTGTTTAAGTTATTGAGAATATTTTATCAAAATCTTTTCGTACCGCATAGGTCCAATTCTACATGCAGTTGATTCGACAAGAGTCAAAGGATGACAGTTCTGAATTGTTGACAGGTCGCGTGCGAGCGTTTGTACAACGTACTTCTGTTCCCGGACGGTGGCTGGCTCGTAGATCTTGCCCCACTACCACACAACGACTCCCAGGTGACTTTCTGCACTCGGGCGAATCCCGGTTGAAAAATATTGAATCTGATATACGTAAAAATTATATTGCTAATTTGTAATTGATGAACTCAATTTTTTAGCGTCACATATTTTTTGAGAAATTAATTCATTAAGATGTGCTGTATTACTTTCAAGTTAAATCTCTCTTGGGTTATTAATAAATTTCGCGTTCACCTTCTTGACAAACGCAACTAAGTTTCTGATAATCCTTAGAAATACCCTGAACTTGTATTTCATTCAATATTATTTGGGCTGAAAACTTGATCATCTGGCTAAAAAATAAGAGAAGCTCAAAGAATCTACTGGGATAATTATCTTAATATATTGTATCAGAGGATTTTCAAATAACAATGAATTTATTTTTATTTATTATCCAGCGTGGAGACTCGAGCAGCAATCGGCTGCAGCACCTGCCTCCTGAGATCGCCGCTCGAGAGCCCGATCGGTCCCGTCAGCTGGCGACGCTGCGCTCCATATACATCCCCCAGGTACGCGCCCTACCTCCGTTCATCCACATAGTAGCAAAAAAATATAACTCGGTACTCACTGCAGTGAGTGACAGAGAGCTCATTTTCTCGTTGACGAAATCATGAAGTCACGGACAGACAGACAGACGGACGGACAGACAAACATGGCGAGCACAATAGTGCATTTTTCCATAAATGAAAAAATGCGCTAAAAAAATAACAATCTTACAGTCGTATTGTTTAGATGAGTAAATATTATACTTTGTTGCGCAGGTTTGCTCGCTGCTGCAGAACATTTTATCAAGTACCGGCGACCACAAGCAGTGTATACAACTGGCAGACATTGTGTCGTCGGAGCAGCACCAACTCTACACTGCGTTTGGCACCGCCGAAATGCAGCGATTTTTGCTCAAGTTACTTGAGTCCTCAAGATATTTACTGGACCACGATAAAGACGCTTTAGGATACCCTCTTCACTAGTGGAACTTCCGAACCCCTTCAGTGAGATAACTTCATACTTTCACATTCATTGAAAGCGCGGTCTGCGATTGATGCTATAGCCTCCATTTGACTGGGCTTGCAGCTTGGGATGTAACTACCGATCGCTTGTTAAGGAATTGAGAAGTGCAAGATTTACAGGAAACGGTTTGCGATTAACATCTCGTATATTTGTTCTGCTTGTAAATAGTAATATCAATGATGTTTTAATTAATAAACAAGTTTTACTCTTTCATAATATTTTATTAACCTATTCTTATTAAAGATAACACATTATGACATTTCTTGGTACAAAGCCCTGATCTCGATGTTCGAGCTCAGCGTTTCTTTGCGTTCTGTTTACGATATTAGCACGACACTTGAATAATTCATTGATCCATCACTTTGTTGCTTTTAATTTGTTTGGAGAATTCTTACTAAAATAAATTGAAATTAAGATTATTCATGAGTGCTCAGTAAAGGTAAGAAACCAAATTGTAGTCTGCAATTAAAATCCATGTAGTATAGCTTTCATTGAATGCCATATATGTATCTATAAGTAATTAACGATTTAGGAAAAAATTAATATGCAATGTCTTGGGCAAATCACGAAAGATTTTAGTACTGGGTTCCGATACTTCAGTGCTAAATATTTTTGCCTCTAACGTAAGATCATGGAATCTCGCTTCTAATGTCACGTTTGGCAATCAGGCTCGCGTAGAAATATCAGTAACTTTGGGAGATTTGCATTAAACATAAACTGTGATGATCATAGTAAGAAGGGTGTATTTCACTAATGATTATATTTCAGCATTGGCCCTGAATAAAGTACCAAAATTGCTTGAGGTGAACCCCGCTGCACCTCATTTTTCTTCGGTGAGCATTAGGACCAGGCAATAAGTCCAGCAGCTATCTCAATCAATCGTCAGCTATGGAAAGATCGAGTTCCAAAGGCCGGATCCCTTGCGAATCAAGTCACGAAAAGTTCAAGAATCGACAACAGGCCATGGGCCTATTTCTTCAATGCCGACACTTTTATTCTATTATATTCTATTAGAGAGAATATCAAGGGTAATTATAGCGTTCATCTCGGGACAGCGAACATGGCCGTTTGTGGAACTGTGCGTTGTAGTGGATCCACTTGGTCGTTACTGCGCGGATAAGGAGTTGATTAATAGCCTGCCTGTATACACATTATTGAAATTATTAGATTTTTTAAATTTTCTGTATATTCATGATTTGTCTGAGGGCAGTATAGGTTATAGAATGCGATGATCAAAATTCGCTGGAGAATTGATAGCTTGAAATAAACGCTATTTAACATTTTGATAATCCATAACAACATAGAGGCTATGTATTTAGAAATGTGTATCATGGATATAAGACTGGAACTTTATAGTTATTTTGTTAGAAATATCGTTGTAACTTCAAACGCTCGAAGTTAGAGAAACTAACTAGAGTTGTTAAATTGTAATATATGAGCAATTAAAAATTTATGCTCTTTTCAACAAGAAATTGGAATAGGATTGCATCTTACTCCATTTTGATCCGTGAAGCACAGGACAGGCGCCATGTCGTGTCAATTGGTCGCGCTTGCCGCTCCTGTAGAGGTTGTACCAAAACAGCGCCGTGCCGAGCTGAGGCTCTACGCGCACCCCCAGGTGTGGGAACACCGTCGCTCCTCCTGCGGTCACGTCACTCAGCTGTCGGTCAGGAGGAGGTTAATTTTAATAAAAAAAATTTAAAGTCACGGTTGCATTCAATCGAGAAGAATTTTTCTGCTGCTATCAAGCGCACGGTGGCATGTTAATAACTTGTTAATGGATTCGTTACAACACCGTCAATGTAATTCGTATCCAACGAATTATAGCATTGGCCAGGTTACTAATAATCATCGTTGGTAGATGAAGGTTTAAACGGTTAGATTTAATAAGCTCTAAAAGGGTTAATTATGCTGGAAAAATAAACCAGTAGGGCAGTAGCACATGAAGACAAAATTGAAAGAAGAATACTTGAGATTTATTAATGACACAAGTACGGGGAGTTACAGACAATTTTGGTGTTTTTCTTCCGTTTAGCCTAATGTACACCGGGACTAACCTAATGTATACCGGGACTAACCTAATGTATACCGGGACTAACCTAATGTATACCGGGACTAGCCTAATGTATACCGGGACTAGCCTAATGTATACCGGGACTAACTAATGCATACCGGGACTAACCTAATGCATACCGGGACTAACCTAATGTATACCGGGACTAACCTAATGCATACCGGGACTAACCTAATGTATACCGGGACTAACCTAATGTATACCGGGGCTAACCTAATGTATACTGAGACTAACCTAATGTATACCGGGACTAACCTTACGTAAATCGGGACTAACCTAATGTATACCGGGACTAACCTAATGTATGCCGGGACTAACCTTACGTATACCGGGACTAACCTAATGTATACCGGGACTAACCTAATGTATACCGGGACTAACCTAATGCTGTCTCTTATACACATCTAGATGTGTATAAGAGACAGATATACGGTGGATCGGATCGTAAGGATTTAGCTCGTCCGGCAACCAGCCTCTGCAGAGAGGAATTAAAGGATCAACAGAAGGGCTGGAATTTTCACTGTTCCCTTTACCACGTTTTACTGATTTTCATTTTCAGAGCTGTTAAACTGTTAAATTGTTATGTATCAATTAAACCCAGGTTTAGGCAAGGGGCTTTATGGACTAGTTTCCAGTGCTCCTATAAGAATAAATAAGAAAGAAAGAAAAGAGAAGGACTGGCGATTGAAATCCGAGGATTTGGTATTTATCTTATTAAAGGGGCTGAGTTCACACTGATATAGCCAGCTCTACAGCTGAATCATGTTTGTAGTTGAAATGAATAACCAAAGACTCATTTGTGTATAGAATAGCACAATGATTTCATCATCAAACTATGGCTTGGAAGTGTGAACAGAATGTAAATAATCGGTTTTTGGTTTTCTGTTCTTATGAGCCGATCAACAATTCTAATCTCACGATCATCAACTTTCCGCTGTGTCAAACTCACGTCATGCTGACACATATCATGCTGATGTCAAACTCACGTCATGCTGACANAGTGAGTAAATCGATTTCAAACTCACCCTCAAGTTCTCGCCTCTGCAGAGTTTATTTTGCATCTTTGCTTCTTCTTCGTACGTAAGCAGAACTTTTTCGGTAGGCATATATTCTTTGCTGTTGCCTTTTGATTTCTTACTTTTCTTCTTTTTCTTCTTTGACTTGTCTTCTAGTGCCATTGACTCGTACTGCAATAAAAATAAAACATGCGTTTCACATCATTTCGAAAGCAAATCGTTAAAAAAGCAAATGAAATAACAAAGTTCATTAAATTACAACGCAGATATTGAAAACTAACAATCTCCCGCACAAAAATTATCAAGCGCACCTTCAAAATTGTAGATCTCAGGCCGGTAATAATTTCTCGTTCTTCATCAGTAAGTTCTTCAGTGTCGCTGTTTTTAACGGCGAGTTTGAACCACTGAATGGCACGCTTGTTGTAGCCAAGCTTGACGGCTTCTTTACCGAGCAAAATGTAGTCCCATGTACGAAGTTTCCCGAGGCTCCGTATATCTGTTGGAAAAAACATTTTTTACACTGGCAAAACAATTATATATGATGATGCACTGTTTTCATAAATGATTCCTGATGCAGGACACAGTAAATTAATATCATTGTCAATTGGAGATTTTTTTTATCAATTAAGGGCAGTTTATAAAGGTTTTAGGGAGTTTATAAAGGTTTTATTGGTCTACCCAGGAGACGTTCTAGTATAAATATTTTGACGGGATTGACTTATGATATATTTCGTTACCAACCGATTGCACTTGAAACATCCCCAAATAATCAATTTTAGTAAATAATCTAATGAATGTTTCAACGGGATTTGACTTTAATATGCTAATAAAATATATATGCCCTATATAATATCCCCCAAATAACTGCTGCTAACAAATGTTATGCTCAATATTTTTACCCAATTAAATGTTTATAGAATTAATTATCAACTAGTGCCCTTTGAAAAATCCCCAAACAAGCGATACCACTTAATAACATAGGCTACATTTCATTGCAATACATTTGATTACAACCTTATCACAAATAAGTGTCTTCACAATATTATCTCTAATATTTTCATATATTATCCATTATGAATACCCAAAACCGTGACTAACCTAATGTATACCGGGACTAGCCTAATGTACACCGGGACTAGCCTAATGTACACCGGGACTAACCTAATGTATACCGGGACTAACCTAATGTATACCGGGACTAACCTAATGTATACCGGGACTAG